AAGGTCCTGAGTTTGAAAATATGCAGCTTCCTTTGGTGACTGGCTGGAATCATCAGAGATTCAGCGGAAAGCATTGCTGGTGATGAGCTAGAATTGCTTTTTTTCTTTTCTTTTCCTCTTTTTTTGCCAGTCAAGAACAGTTACCTTGCGTTGGTGTTACCGAAGCACTTTTGGATGAAATTTGAACTGGAGCTATTAAAGACTAGTTTTAATCCCCTCTAAAAATGTCATGTGGCTAGAGTCCTGGCTTAAATCGTTTCCCTAGACCAAAGGCAGCCTAGCACAGTACTTGGTCGGGATTCCTAGCTAAAACTTGCAGCAGCCTTGCCTCTCTGTGAAACTTCAACATGGTAGGACTTGTCCTGGTTAGTATTTCAGTAGTTGTTAACCTGTTGCACCTGTTCTACAGAGAGCAGGAACAGGTGTAGCAGGAAACACAACTTAGAGAAGATACGGCGTATCATAAATACTGCTGTTGTTGGTATCAATGGCAGTTGTGCGTACGAAGCTGTTGCAGCAAATTGGTAGCCCGTTGTAAACAGTGCTGGTTTACCATCTTTTTAAATACTAGTTCTCTGCACACTGCCTTGGAACTACTTTTAGGCAACTGAACTTGCTGCATTTGTGTATCTAAAATTCAAAATATGCCTGGTTTGTAACACTTCTTTCTTCTGAAAAAAAACCCCAAAACCTCTTTTTGTAAGCAAAAAGGAAGTTTATCATTTGGTTTAATCCCCTTGTATGTATGTGTGATGCATAGTAAACTATGAATGAAACGAGAACAAAGCAATTACGGTGTTTCATTTTGGAAGACTAAAGTAATTAATTTTACTTTCTTTTTTTTTTTTCTTCTTCTAAGAGACAGTAATTCGTTAGCCACCTTGAAAACATTTGAAAAAGCAGTCGAATGGGCCAAATCCGGAGAATTCACACAACAAGATATCGATGAAGCTAAGCTAGCGGTATTTGCTGCTGTAGATGCACCAATAGCTCCTTCAGATAAAGGTATAGTCTCACCAGCCTCCCAGCGCTGCCAATATTTTTTTTTTATTTGAGTTTAAAGGGAAGAAAGTAGTTAGTTTGCTGAACTGTATCATATGATAAAATTTGTACTTGGCAGATATAAGACAATTGCAGTTTCAATGAAGCAGTCAATTCCTGTTGCTCCCTTTCAGAAATACCACACGCGTTCAGTCTCTACTGAAGTTCGCATATTCGCGCTGCTCCTTGATGTCAGGTGAATACAGCTAGGAGATGGAGGTAGACCAAAGGAACCATTTTAGGCTTGGAAAGGGCATTAAGTGCAAGCAAATAAAAGGAAATACTGGTCTTCTGATTCAAAGAAAGTTGAAGGATTATTTTCCTGACACAAGCGTGCATATTGACTATGAACATCACTAACCTTTTGTGCATACTTTTTTCGAAGAAGTTAAAGCATCAAGTCCCTCTGCTATGGTGGAGGGTGTTATCTTCTTTACATACCTGCATACTTAGGATGGCTTGGTCGTATCTTTGTATCTCTTCAGTTTGCTCACACATTGCTTTGCTTTCCTTGCTTTTCCCTCCCTCCCCCATTCTCAGCTTAATTTCAGTCCAAAACTTGCTAAGTTAGAATATGTTCCTGTCTTATACATAAAGGAATTATAAGGTTAAAATTTGCATTATTTTAATATGTACTTGTATTAACACTAACTTATTAAACAAGAAAACTTAAAATGAAGCTGACTTTCAGCTGACAGAACTTGGTTTTGGTCTGGGCAACTGAAAAAAAAAAAGTAATCCATTTTAGGTGCATATGAGTGAAATGCACGCATATTTGACCGTTGGTATTTGTGAGAGTAATGATTTCCATTCTTCGATATTTGAACACGCATCTTAACGGACCTGTGGCATATTTAGTGAAACACTGAATAGAAGAACATTGTTCAGTAGGCCTGGAAGCCGTTGCAGAGAGAAATACCTATCCCTTCACACTACTGTTACATTGGTCGTTGGGCCCTGCATGAGGACTTGAGCTGCCTTAGCTAACTTGGAAGTCAGCCCTGCTTTGGGCAGGAGGTTGGAGGACTAGCTAACAGACGTCCTCCCAAGCCACTTTTTTTCCCCCCTAAGACTATTTGCATGTAAAAAGCTTTTCTATGATTATTTTGGAGTTCTCTGGTAGTTCATGGACCTATAATACTAATTTTAATATTAACATTAAAATAGTGTGGGCAAGTATTCCAACAAAAGCAGTAAAGCATTTGTACGTAGATTTCTGTGTGGAGTACAAAAAGGTGATCGAACCTGTGTCTTGCACATATACTACAACTGATGGCAAGTTTTAAGAGCTTGTTGTTATAAACGACAACAAAGATAGAAGCTTCATGAAATGCAGTTTGGCTAAAACATTGTTAGAAAGTACTGAGACTCTTTAGAATGAATCCTGTTGGGGTGTTTTAGGTTTTCTGGACCACCATTACGTTTAGATTTTTTGACAAACTCAATCGGTTGCGAGAATAGAATATGATTTTTTTTTTTCCCCCCTAAATAGGAAACTCTTACTACCTCAGAAAATTAATTTACATAGTTCTAACCTTTGGTATTTGATTTACAGTTAGATGTTGTCTCAAAACAATGGCCTAATGGTGGTCTCTGTTGTTCCCTTCCAGCACATGTATCTATGTCTTAGTTTGCACTCGTTCATGCGCTTAGTTGTAACTGAGATTCCAGTACAGCAATGCAACCAAAACAACCACCAAACCCAAAACAATGGTTTTGTTTTCTTTTTTTCCTAGGAATGGATCATTTCTTATATGGGATTTCAGATGAAATGAAGCAGTCGCACAGAGAACAACTTTTTTCTGTCAACAGCGATAACCTGGTTGATGTATCAAACAAGTAAGTCTGTACTCAACTTTGGAAAATGTTTACTTGAAAAATAGAACAAAAACCTAATTTGAAGAAGAAAACAGTTTGTGAAAGTTGTCATAATAAAATTCTTGGATTTCTTCCCTGGCCTTTCGTACTTCCACTACTTGCTTTTGTAACCTAGAGAGAGAGATGTTAATTATATCCTGCTTATTGCATTTTAGCAGATGTAACTTCCTCCTACATTCTGAGTTTGTGGGAGATTGTTTTACTTTTGAAGGGTCCAGAAACTGTCTGGGTAAA